AGAAAGGCAAAACGGAAGACTCACATGGTGTGCTGGTGGTCGCGTTAACCCCTGGAGGAACAACAGCGAGTTCCATTCCTTTCGCAGACACCCAAGGTCCGGAATTTTGCAAATATCTCAGCATCATTGTAGCTACATTTCGCAGGCTCTGAAGAAGGCGAAACAGCCGAAACGCCGGCTGTTGTATCGTAATAAATTCCGTGATACCAACCCCATGCTAGGCAGACTATTTATGATTTAAGATAACCCAGAACTTGTACTGATACACCTACATTCATGTAAAAGAAAACTCATATTCATTTTTTTTTAACGTTATCAGTTCAAATAACAGTAATATGCACTTCAATTCTATCGTCATAACAAAATAGAAACGTTACAAATAGCGAATCAATACAACGTAATATCTCATCATTTCGAAGAGCTCAGCATATCACAAAGATCAAAAGTGAAATGAATGAGTGAGAATAACGATCAATACATATTTGAATCACATGACGGCCACAAAAGGCACAAACCTAATACTCGTCACTTTTATACAATACTATTAGTATTATTAATACCATTTTCAATGAGAAATATCGTCAATTGATTATGCTTTTCTTGGTGAGTAGAAATTGGCACTTGAAAATAATAGTAGTGGTGTTGCAAAGACGATTAGTCAAGATAGTTGGTGCTGAACCATCTATCTGAATCAACTGATCGATTTGATAACGATTAGACTCTAATATTATAATGAAATGAGTAAGACGAATAGTCTTTCTCAAAAGTACGTTGCACGTGTGAGTCATGTAACTGGAAAGAAATGAGCGTGAAAGGTTAGCATATGGATTTCATCTCGTGAGAATGAAAGATGATAAAGAACAGAATAGGAAGCAATAAAAGTAGTAATTTCTGTAAAATTAAGATATCCCGCTCGTCTTACGTTGTCATAATTTTTGCAAATCGAAAACATCCTCTTCATCTTCATCGTCACTTTTGTACAGTGGTATTCTCTCGAATGTATCGCTACGACCCGCGAAAATGCCTCGTCGATTCAACACCGATGTCAGTCGTTGACGGCAAGCAAAGCACTAGAATAATCGAGTGACATAAGCAGAGCAGCTGGACATTCGCAATCATAAATCATAAATTCGAAGCCAGTAGAACTGACGTCCCTGTAAACCGTATACTAGAATTTACCGTACATCGTAAGCTAAACTACGCGACGCTACCGTAAGCTGTAGCTTAAAATCGAAGAAAACAAAGACTACGTTCAGACCATATAGACTGCTCGTGTAGCAACTTTTTAAAAAATCTACTGAAAGATATCTGATATTTCATGACTTTTCACAACTCTAAGAACACATGAATAAAATAATACAAGTCGCGAGCAATACAATATAGTGTGACTGCAGAGTGTGGTGCAGCAGTCTGAGAAATGATGCTCGTTCAATGCATACATTTCGCCATACCTTCAAATCTCATCGTTCAAAACTCAAAAGATTAGAATAGTAAACAACATAATATATACAGATGTAGTTAAAATTAACAGAGAGAAGTAAATAAATACGCACACGTACACACAACTTTGATTTAGGAAAACCTGACCAATATATGACTCAAACTGCCACAAAAGTGTGAGTGTAGATGTTGAAAAGACTTCAGTCAATGTCAGCTACACTTCTTTATTTGGATACTTGGATGGCTCGTCTTCACAGGTTGTACGAGCCACAGCATTATTCCCATTCACCGGGTATTTGCTGGTCTACCTATTGTGGTTTCCTGGAATCCTGAGGACAGCCTGGCCAAAATCTGCCCTAGGTCGTCACCACCACAGGTAGTCGCAGCCCTTGTGGATCTGAGTGGCATTTGCTACCATGCGTCATTGATACCAGGACGGTGGTGGATCCTCGTAATGGTTTTCTCTTAGCTGGGCCACCTAATGGATTCCCTATCAGCTTGGTATACCCTGCCAAATGGATGAATCTTCTTCCTGTATGTCGCAAAACGACACCCACAAACACCTCCCAGCCACGATGAAGCAGTAAACCGTTGAGATGAATGTCAGCTATTAGAAAAAAAATTAGTATTTATCATATTTTTCTCTTATGCCTTAATGAACATATACAAATCCACTACATGCTAAACAAAAATGAATAAGCTATGCTTGTTAGTCAAACTATTGCATAAGCATGAATAGAAACTTTTGCACTAATACAAAACATTCGCCAAGGTGAAGCCGTATACTGGTCAACGCGTGGAAATGTACTAGCGTTTCATCTAACACGAAACATAAGACATTCTACTGATTTGAAACGGTGCTCACTCGCTTAATGAGAGATATTAGTTAAACAGGAATCCCGACGCTGTGAAGTCTGAAGAGTGATATACGAACAAAAAACTTGGAAAACGATAAACCGGAGAAAAACAAACGAACTCACGCATGCTAGTAAACTGAGGAAGACTAATGAGGCTACAATAACGATGTTACTTCGCAAAAACGAACGATGCAAGAAAATCCATTTTTCCATAAGCCGATTCGAATCCGCAATCTACAACAGTCACTACAAGCACTCAAAAATGCTTTATGAATTCGCACTTATCCACACATCACTCCTGAATAAGTTAGAGTGCCTATTCCTATTCTTGACTTCGGTACTTTAAAGTAGAAAAATACCCCAAACAAAGACCCATAGATAAAGAAGAAAGAGGCGAAAAACATTGAATACTTCAAAGAAATGTTACTTGAGAATAACGTAGACTAACCTGAACGTTGAATTCTGTGTAGACGTTTTCCCCCTTCATTACTTGAATTCTATGCACACCGTTTGGAAGACCGATGAACGCTGAACCAAAAGTGGGAGAAGTCATATGAACGGAATAAACACTACCAACCGAGCTGCGCAATGCAAACAAGGGATCGTCGGTAATAAGACGAACACCTTTTAACCTAAACGGACAAGACTTTGTCGAATGTTTAAACATTTAGTCATAATATCCACAAGTGACTTCCGTCAACCCCACATAGTCGGATGGTGAAACAATTACTACTGAAGAGGATTAATTAGCAAAATTTAAGATAGCTTCAATACTGTATTATATCTGTCACAGGGTGGATAGCACAGCAGTGATTCCGATTATCGCGACCATGTGCAGGTTCGACTCACCACGTGCTCATTAAGGCTCTCATTCCTCCTGGGTAAAGAAATTGGTGCCAGACTTACTAAGGAGAGGTTCACTTTCCACAATCTATGTGGGAACGCCCTACCCCGGGTATCTCAGGACTACAAGTCAGGGAGAATCGATTACGATCAGCTCACCGTGATTTACGTAAGGAACACGACAATATTCAAGCAGCAGTTGAATCCAGACGCAGAAGTTGGAGGATTTTGGTGGATGAGGGTGCGTGAAACGAATCTAATGCAAGAAGTGGTGGAATATGTAAAGATGTGAGAGGTCGAGTAAAATAAAATAAAAATAAAGAGTATATCTGCTAGAAAAATAACAGAAACTGAAGTGCTGTAGATTGTACAATGTAGAAAAAAAACCAAACGCTTCATGAATCTTTCTGATTGACTGCAAAATTTTCACAGGTAAGTATAGAAAAATATTCACCAAATTCCAAAGGTAATAGAAAGCTAGTACATTAAATGTATAAGTCTTGATAATCTGCAGACCATAAGCTAACCTTTCTTTCATCATGGTAACAATGCTCTCGCGATTTTCTGCGTACAGATGTCCTGACCCGCGTTCTTCGTAACAACATCCAGTCTGCACAAGCAAGACATCTGGTGCCGACGGCCACGAAACTGCCGTATTCCACTCATAGAAATCTAGCACTTTCTGTTGAGTTTTTAAGCCTAAAAACTTTTCAAGAAGAGGAAGAACAAGTTAAGTTCACTAGTAGTGGAACATTCACTACGATTTTTGAAACAACTTTGAACCGTATAAAAACCATATTTAGGTCTTCGTAAAAGGAATGCCCGATTTCAGATTTCAGTTCCCTATATTTTTTAGTCATAGTTTTTCCTTCCCCTGCCACATTACTAGAAGTCACTGCAAGGCTGATTCTATGCGTGTCGCTCCGTACAACTGAATTGCAATATAAATCGTATTTTTGAAAATCCTAAACTTCTTAAAAAATCCTAAACTGAAACTTCATATGTCAAAACAAAAAATTCGACAAATCTCCTTCCAGAATTCAAACTTGGACCTACGCAGCAGAAACAACAGCTAGGAACACTGAGGGGGGGGGGGGGGGGGGGGGGAGGGNGGGGGGGGGGGGGGGGGGGAGGCAGGGAAGTGCTATCGAATGGAAGGGTACTCTAGTAAATTTCGCCGCGGCGAATTCGATCTTCAAGATGAGAGGTCACGGACGTGCTTTTGCTACTGACTACCATGAATTCAAAGTTTCTTTCTAAGCAAATCCACAAACAACTATTGAGAAGTTGCAGAAGAACTCGTTGCAAGCATCTTAACTATTTTCGGCCATCTAAAGAAATTGCAAAATCGATGAAACTCGACAAATATGGGCGAAATAACTTGAATGAAATGGTAACCAAAAAAATCGCAATTTTGATAGATTGTCGGCACTTCTGTGCAACAAGAACGATCCGTTTCTCCACCGCATTGTGGCATACATAAGGAATGCATCATATATGATGACCGGCTACGATCCGCTCAGTAGTTCGACCGTAGCGAAGCTTCGTAGCACTTCCCAAAACAAAAATTGCACCGAACGACCAAACGAAAGGTATGCCGACCGTTTGATGGTGCACAGCTGGTTTGATCCATCACAGCCGCCTGAATCCAGGTGAAACGATCACGGTGAAGTACGTATAATAAATCATAAAAAATGCACTTCAACTGAAAAACTTCAACTGCTGTGACCATCATCAGTCAACAGAAAGGGAACAATACTTGTCCGTAACAACGTGTGGCCACACGTACAACTGACGGCGAAATATTGAACGGCCTGGGTTACGAAACTGTGCCTCATCCACCACACTAGACATCTCATTATACTATCACTTCGACAACTCCTCGTGCGAGAAGTGTTTCAGAAGCCAAGCCAAAGCCGAAACTTCCTTAAACGACTTTGGTGCCTCTAAGAGTCCAGAATTTTAAGCAACCGGTATAAGCAAACCTGTTTTTTGTAGACCCTAATTTGCGGATTCCAGCGATTTTCATTTGACTAATAAAATTTGTGCTGAGTTAATATATGTCATTTTAAACACACAATTTAAAATCGGACCTTAATTTCTGAAACACCTGATATAACATAGACCGAAAACTTCGAACCGTAGAATTTCAGTACGGGAACCTTTACATACTTGAAATATGTTCCAAATATTAATCACTATACAATAACATCCACTGTCATAGACCTCTATATGAGTGGTTGCAAGGTCATTCAAGAGATCACGTAGTGTGACAGCAGGTAGCGAAAATATGGCTGAATATGGTTAAATATCTAGCATTCTTAGCCAACCATATAAAAACCATTCAGAAGGAAATTCCGCTGGGTTTACATCACCCTTAGCAAAGACAGGTCATTGAAATTCTCAAGTATAAGGATATTTGCAATCATGTACATGCATACTAGTGTAGGTGCGTGACGAAATGTCCAGGTTATATTCCGTACTTGGATTTGGACAAAGCAAAGCTCCACCTCTATTCTCAGAGAGCCAAATTTATGTACGCCTCCACAGCTAAGACGCCGAGTAATTGCTTGACACCCTCTTATCAAAATCTATGTACAATTATAACTCGTATGAAATGCTGAGATATTTGCAAAACTCCGGACCACAGGTGTATGCAGTGGAGAACGAACACGAGCTGTTGTCCTTACCGGGGAGCAGCGCACTTCACCACCACACCATGCGGGTCCTTCGTTTCGCCTGTCTCTCAGCTAGTTCTATCGATCTTTTTTTATTAGCTGAGAGACGGGCGAAACGAAGGACTCGCATAGTGTGGTGGTGAACGCGTTACTCCCCGGAAAGGATAATAGCGCGTTTGTTCCCCACCACAGACACCTGCGACCCGGAGTTTTGCAGATATCTCAGCACTGCAGAAGTTATATTCGCAACATACCCTGCCGTTAAAAAGAATAGGAAGTAAATAAATAGAAGATTATGGGTAAAATGTTATAGCCATTCTTGTACACGACACGACAGTAGTATGTTTAACAGAATTGAAGATGAATCCTTTAGACTTCTTCTACAATAGTTGCATAGTAATTTCTTTTCTATCAAAAATGTCAATATCAACTTCCATTTCAACACAGTTTAACTACTGCAAAGTCAAGAAATAACATGCGGATATATTTTACACGCGACACTTTGATGAGCGTTGGCATAGTATGGATGTCACTAATGATCCTGAACGCTTTCAAATTCAAGCATTCCTTCACAGTTATTCTTCATCTATCTAATGTGCTACCAGTAACGTTCAGCATAGCAGGAGAGATTACGGACACCGATCAACTAGTAAGGTGATTTTGTAGCGGGATTGTTTTGTTAATTCTATTCTGATTTCTTCACACCGTGACAAAACGCGTCAAAAGACGGGATGGTGTTTTGAGAATCACAAAGATGGTTTTACACTTCCAAATGCCTTTCACTTTTCAAGTATATTTAGGTTCTAAATGTTCGTATGTGATTTGGTCAGCAACAAATGCCCTATGCTTGCTCACTGATAAAACACTGCGGGATTGACAACGTGATCGAGAAATCGAGAAACGGCTAATCCATTCTACTTAACATGAAGAGTTTCCAGGAGATGACTATCAAGGAAATAACAGTCATGCTGTTATAAAGAAGCTGCGAAGCGTGGTAGAACGAATCGCAACGCCATGGGGAACTTTCATGCATGAAACAAACCTTCAGTCCTACCTCCAGTACATATGTCTTCTGTCCCGGTCGACATTTGAGTGTGATACATCTGATATGTTTTGGCTAGTCGGTCTGATATATTGGCTTTCGCGTTAATGTACCGAACCTTAACAGAGGCCATTAGTCCTTTATGTAGCAAAAAAGCTTCTAAAGCTGAGTATTTTAGTTTTTGGCCAAGTTTGTTACTACTGCAAAATTTCTGCAGCTTAGCCTACAAACTCAATCAACATATTTGATACTGTGCTACTTTTTCTACAATCGCCGATAATTCTCCCACAAATAACGCACTTGAGGAATTGACAGCTTGCCAGATTTATAGAAAAGGCCCGCAAATTCTTTGAAATGCCGTTTTAGTTATAACCTTACTTAAAACTCAAATTTCAAAACAAATGAAGTCGAAATTTTTAGAACTTTAACACAGTCGTAGCAACCACAAACAGCAATGATCTGTTCGAAGATATCATAGCGTCCAGGTGGACAAAACCCCACTGCTTTACATCTTTTCTGTTCGCGAGAGGAGCCTTCTCAATGAAAAAAAGAACAAAAAGGCTTGTGTTCCCGAAAATCAGAATTTTATCGTGGTAAAAAAAACGTTCAGGAAAACGTTGCGCTTCGGTGGTATGGAGCCTCTATTGGCTTGCATTTCAAACCATAAGAGTCATCACTATGAATTGAAAGATGCCGGTGTAAAACCGAAAAGTGCACTTATTTTCGGTCACGGATGTACTTAGTACAATGCACATAGTCTCCAATATTTTAACAGCACCTCTAAAGACAACGCCTTTCCAACCAGCGATTAAAACCTTGACCACAGTTTTGAATATTTAACATAAGGAGCTGGTATCACAGTGGCAGTGATGGTGATCACCACGGCCATAGTGTGGGTTCGATCCCGTCCCACTCTACCAAGCCTCTCATCACTCCGGGTCTACTCAATTGGTATTAGACTGGTCTGGGAAAAGTTCACTCTCTGCAGTCCAGGTAGGAACGCTCTGGTCCAGCAATCTAGGGATAATAAACTGGAGTAGCATTAAACGAAATTCATGACGAAAGAGTAGTCCTAAAGCACTAGCCGAACACAAGCGCAAGAAGTTGGATGCCTGTTGTGGGTGATAGATGCGTGGAGTGAGTCGAATGCACGTGCTGGGATATGCCCCACAGATAGGACGACAGGTCGCGTAAAATATTTAAAATAATTTTAAGACTAGATGGAAGCCACCTAGAGGTGAACTAGAATACATCTTTTCCACTCAGTTTAATAATGAATCGATAAAAAAAAGTCACCCGAGAATTAATAGGACTCACTTTTAATCCTCCACTTCCAAACATTACTACGTAGTCAATTTGAGGCACCGCATTCAGAACTTCATTCAGAAGTGCTTGAAACGGTGCGATCGTATCATAGTCATGGCAGGTTAACTACAATACCTCGATGTTACGATAGCATGGAAGAGTACATAATTCCAAAAGACCGTCTAATACCTGTGTAGATGGGATTTCTGGCATGAAAATCACTGTTGAATCAGAAATGATTTCCGTGGCACCCTCGAACTGTGGCGATCCACACCACTTTGACATCATTTCGAATACAAGGGTTTCTGTCCGCTATAAATTGGGCGCTTACTTACAAACAAAGTGGCGAACAAGTGGTTAGTAAATACACTTGTAGAACAATTCTACTTACTTTCGTGAGTTATGTAATAATGATACAGAACAAACATGACAATGGCGTTGCATCCGAATTGAAGACAACTAACCTTCTCTATAGCCATTACCAGAGTATAAGGTGGTTCACCATTGCCCATACGATATAAATTTAGATGAGTGTTTGCGGCTATTCTGGTCAAACAATTTTCTTGCTCCAGTAATGGTATGGATGCACTTAATTCTTGTTGTTATACCTCATAAATAAAAGAAACACTAGGACACAAAGCCGTTCTGACTACTGTATAAATGGAATTTCGCAACTCACCTAGTTACCATTACCATTTGATTTGGTGTGAAATGGTCTGATGGGTTTGCTGATGGAATAACAGAGAATTCTTGCACAATATCCATACTGATGGTTTGTCTCAGCATCTAAAAAATTACAAGGAAATAAACATCAACGAAATTACAAAACAACAACTTTACTCAACAGCCAGATCGTTTCAATAGCTTATCCAACATGTTGCAGTGGAGAGAGACATAAAAAGCTCTATTCTGCACATAAAAATATGTAGGAAAACACTTCAGGGTGCTTACAGCAATGACCATAAAACGTATAGTGAATAGTAGCACACATACTACGCATAACCCTAGAGTAACCATAACCCATAACCTTTTTTATAATTCTGTCATCTTTTGTACCTCCCCATGGTTTACCGCCTCGTTGTAGTTACGAGGTGTTTCTGGGTGACGGGCTGCGATGTACAGCGGGGCAGAGATTCATCCTTTTGGCAGGATCTCCCAAGCTGAGAATGAGACCGGTATTTCCATTAGGAAGCCCAGCTAAGAAAAAACCACTACCATGATCCGTCATCGTCCTCGTACCAAACTACTCTCATGGTGGCAAATCTCCCTCTGATCCACAAGGGCGGCAATTTCCACGATGGCCAAACCCTCAAAACGCCGAAAAAATGAAAATTATGCTGAGGCTCCGAGAACCAGTGAGGATAGGCCAACCAAGCATCCAAGTAAGTCCATCTTCTGTACACCTCAATCTTCTTGTTCCCGAAACTGCTGTCTATTGTCGAGAAAGCAGCAAGTTCGTGAAGATACAAAACCAGTGGTAGGCCGATTTGCCTTCAAAATAAAATTAAGTGTAAGCATCAGTAGCTTAATAGAGACAATGTTGTACGACATAGTCAAGAAACGTTCATACCCTATTAGTTAAATCGACTCCAAAAAATATTAATCTGACATGAGCTTCGATGAGATAAGAACATGCTCGTTCGATTGCTGAGCTGTTTAACGTGATCATTTCGAAGCATATCTTTATCTAATTTCGTATATCTCAGATGTGATGAGATCGAGGACAACTCTACCACTAATTCACTGCTACTTCGAAAAGAATGCAAAGTTGGTTCAGAATTCTCTATGGATCAAGAATTTTGGCTTGTAACTCATTTTAAGCGGCTCTAGAAAAAACTATGAAAATGTTTCTTACTCACATTAATCATCGCTCCAACAGTAGCAGCTTTTTTCGATAAGTCCACAGAGTTATCGCAACCAAGTGAAATTCCTAGCTCAAAGGCTGTACTCAGCTTTAATTCATCCATCGCCAATGTCACTCTTGAATCCCTCAACGGCCTGGAAACGAATTTCTGCCAGCGGTGTCATAAATCGGAATGCATGAAAAAAGTCCATGGTTTTCACCAGATCCATAATAACTAAGTGAAGTTCGTAGTTTAATTAACTTTAGAAACATAAACATTTCCCAGTTTAATTTCATATTAACTATGTAGCCATGAAAAAACAACTCTGGAATGCGTACACAGGAATATTCAGAAATATATAAACAACACAAAGATTGCCTTCCCAATCTTCACCTTGCTAGCAACTTTGTGTTTATTATGAAAAAAAACTATCTAACGAACCTTTCGCAACCGGCTCCAAATCCTAATACCTTCGCAAGACTTTCCTCAACCATTGTATGGTTGAAAAGCTGTGGCTGATAGTGTTGCGGACTAAATGTGACCGTTTCGACGAATCCTTCAGAAACCGCTAGTACAACAACTGGATTAAATTTCTGGATACTCTAAAGACCGATACAATACAAAATACATCAAACTTACAAAAGTGTACATTGAAAAACTTCACAAAAAATGCTAAACATTTTAAGAATTCATCGTTCTTCACCTTAATAACCTCCTTGGAGTTTAGCAGTGGTCCCATTAAAAGGCGGATATTAGTGTCTAATTTAAACTCTCCAGAACACAAGTGGTGAGCCAATTTTTGTATAACTTCAGCAGCGCTAAAATGATAAACATTGACTTAAGACACTCAAAACTGATTTGAACATGTAACCAACCTCGATGAAATGCCTACCACCGTCATACGCGTTTTCCCCCTTCCACGTAAAATCACTGCACGAGTTTCAGCCTCACCTTGACATGCGGTTAGTTTGAAATCATGGCGTTGGGCGTCGTGGCCTACTGTCACCATATGTGTCTCAGACTCTAGGCCGACAGCTTCAACAGTCAACTGCAACAGCGCTAACATTGCCATACAGCTCAATAGCTTCAAAGCCATAACTTCTTTGATCATGCAGGTTTTCACACAAAGACGATATGTTGACAAAAACTTTACTTAGAAAAAGAACGCAAAGTAGTGCATAAATCGGAACAAAGAGTAACAAACTTCATGAATTCCAGGTGGCAGCATTCTCCAGTACTCTCCTTCAGAAGTGGCAATTATGGTCTTGCCTGAAACAGATATGAGAAGTTGCAACACGAACTCCCATTTAACCAAAAATAACAGCCTTAGCCTTAGCAAACAATAACATAAAGGGATTGACGTAGAATGTCGCACTTTTAAATAATTTCGTGAAACCTACGCTGTATTTCTCACCTTAGCAACCGATTATCACATTGACTAAGGCAACTAATTTGTTGAGAAACCGATAAAAATATAAGGTGGAAAAGGTGGGATGTTCAGCAAATATATCGGACTGATAAAATTATATGGTCAAAAATATACTTGAGTTCCTCAGATTTTTCTAGATTAACATTTCGCCAGGTGATAGATAATAAAAGACGTTTTTTCTTACCTTGTCCAACGGAAATAGTGGCATTCCGAGCTGGCTTTCCATCATGACTCCTTACGAAGCCATAAACACCTTTATGTGCCATTTCCAGAAAAGACAATAGCGAAAACTGATGTTCAGCCCAGATCCTTAAAAAAACAGATTTATGACTATTACTCCGAATTACTTGGATGTTTTGATACTTGGATAGTCCGTTCTCAATGGTTGTACCAGCCCCAGCACACTGTTCACGTTTCGGTGTTTTCCTGGGATTAGCCACTGTGTTTCCCTGGAGTCCCGAAGTCAGCGTAGCCAAAGTCTGCTCCAGGTTGTCACCACCACAGTTAGTCGCCGCCCTTGTGGATCAAAGGGAGACTCTCCACCATGCAATCAATTTAATAATACCAGAACAGCGGTGGATCCTCGTATTGGTTCACTCTTAACTGGGTTTCCTGATGGAATCGCCAGACTTCTCAGCTTGGGAGACCCTACTGGGGGGATGAATCTCCTGTCGTAAATCGAAGCCCGAAACCCAGTAATACCTCTTAGCCACGATGAGGGGGTAACCGTTGGGAGGTTATTTCGAATGATAAAAATAAAGTAATGGCAAGTGTTTGCAGAATAAAACTAACTTTGGGAGCATATCATCTGTAGGAAATTTGAAACAACCCATCTCAACTGTGATCTCAAACGCGTTCGTATGTACGTACTGCCAGTCTTGCATTCCACCAGCCAAATGATACCTGACAAGTAGAAATATGTTTAACCCTACCATTTTCCCGATACTTGGCAAATAATATAACACAAATGATTCCTTTAATAGCGTACCAAGCAGCGCCATTTGTAATTCCGTTAAAAAATACGTCCCCGTCAGCAGAAAGTCCACATCGACGTCCAGTCTTCCACATACGCGGATGTGCTCGGGCGTATCGATATGCCAACTCCACAAACAGTTTATCATCAGGACTCTGAACTAAACGTACATGGTAGAGAAACTTGATTTTACAACTTAAGATAGCAGTACCATACAGTGTAGCATAAAAACAAGATAGCATAACAGTTATAACATTTCGAAACCGACTTTCCTTGAACTCCGGTATCACTAATCAATATGAATTCTTTCTTTGATGAACTTACACGAGGTTGATAATGATTTAATTATTTAATTATATAATTATTAATTAATTATAATTATATAATTATTTATAATTATAATAATTATAATTATTATAATAATTAATAATTATTACAATTATAATTACTATAATTATAATTAATTATATAATTATTTTCGGCTAACGTTTCGACGTCTTCGTCATCCTTAGAGCCGATGATCCGAGTCGATGGTCGTCGCTTGTTATTCGTCTCGACGTGGCAGCTTCGCCTTCGTGACGAGTCAGGTCTTCTTCAGTGAGCCATCTCCTCGAATGAGGCATCCTCACTCAGTGATGCTCTTTTATACACGGATGCTAATGGTGGATATAATGATAATGTCCGGCGATAACAACTTGTTTTTCTTCCGGACATAATCATCGCGCGCATAGTGCAGAAGTCGGTGTTATTATCAGCTAGCACAAAGCGTAGTAATATTTCGAAACCGACTTTCCTTGAACCTCTTTGGTTATTTAACTTTCCTTGATTATGTTGTTCTAGTTGGACTTCGATCCTTCGATTACCCTTGCCGGGGCTCACGTGCTATCCATCACACCAACAGGGGCCCTCGCTTTGTCTTTCTCTCAGATATGTTTTTACTCTATGGGTATTACCAGCAATCACCCATTAATGGAAATGATTTGTGGAGCATAAGTCGATGTGCTACCCAGTTATGTTGAAGCTGCAGTCAAAATCACAGTGTTCCAACTTTTACTTTCTGCCTAATTTTTTTCACGGCATCCCTATTATTGTACCCACATCGTACGCTGCCATTTAAAACGAGCAGGCAAAAAATAAATGTTAAAATATTGTGCCAACAACTACGGTTAGGATGATTACCTATTGAATACGAACTGCTATATCGTCTTAGATCGAATGCCTAGTCTTAACGAAGTTAGCATTCTCTCTCTGATGCTCAGGTCTACTGGTCCTATTAAAAGCTAATACGACTGCCTCGAGAACGTACGGAGCAAAATCGCTCGAAGACTGAAGATCTGAACTGGCACCAGATAATATTAAAAATATGAAATAATATAACAGCATTCGCATTAAGTGCATCCAGTTTCTTGTCACATATAGCCAAAACACTCTAAATATAACACGATATTAGGCTAAAATCTTCTGCAGTTTCCCAAGTAGTAAAGGTTATTGTGGAAATCCCCACTGAAACTCCTACGGATGGTAGCAGCCACTATGACGGGCACTGTAACAGCGTATTTTAACTCTGACTCCTCCTAACAGTTAAGCCCTTCTGGTTGGTATCGTGGTTGGTAGGTGGACCAGGGCGTTGAGCGGCGATATACAGCGGGGAGTTCATCTTCCCAGTAGGGTCTCACAAGCTGAGGAGTCCGATGTTTCCATCCGGAAACCCAGAAAAGAGTAAACCAATACCAGGAACCATCACAGTCCTGGCATCAAACTAGTCACACCGTGGCAAATCTCCCTCTGATCCACAAGGGCGGAGACGGTGTGGGGTGGTAACGACATGAGGAAGGGTCCAGCTAGGGTGACCTCGCACCTCCACATTGGCTAAACTAGCAAACTTTTGGCTTCAGTACACCACAGAGTGGGCGTTGCCATCTACGACGTCGGACGGTGAGACATCCGGTGAGAGGCGATCAAATCTCGGGTTCAACAGAACGTCATTGGAAACGGACAAAACAAGCACGTCTAGGACATGCTATGAAGACTACTTCTAGCTCTGCACCTATAATTGCAGAACAGTCAAACACCGACCTTTACGCTTTTCCCGAAGTCACCAATCACATCAAATTCTACATGATCGCACTATAACAGAAGAAAAACAACAAAACCGATATACGCCAATTAGACGAAAATTGTTCATTTCTTTGCGCTATCAACACTAAAATGGCTTCTTCTGAACCCTGTCCTCACAAATCACCTTGCTACAAATGAGACCAATTTTAACGTAATCGCCTTGCACAAATTCAAAATTGAGAAGATCGATATTATTAATTAAATGACAGGACTTGTCAGTCGTACGTGGAAACCCGTCAAGAAATTCCAGTGGCGTACACTTATACGTTCCTCGTTTTTCACTATGACAATTCCTATGAGATCTTATCAGTGTCCATATGCATTTTATATATTCCACTTCCACGTTTAAAGAATGTAACCTTCACCAACTGCCAGTCACCAATTCTAATCAGTCGGAAGAAATAATCCACAAAGAGGTTTGTACCTACTTACAAATTCGCTCTTAGAGAGATTAGTCTCAAAATAGGATAGGCCAGTGAAGGTGAATCCAGTAGCATAAAAAATACGAAAATCGGAAACGTTTTCGCAGAAAGAGCTTATTACTAGTCTGTGGCAAGCGCCATGAAGGAATCACACAAAGGAAGCAAAACAGTATGGACATTTCAAAGATGCATTGACTAACAGAAATAGATTTCCACCATGAGTGTTGGTCACAGAGGACGGAAGGGAACGAATTGGTAATGAGCTGGAGACTGTACTCTTGTGAAGACGGGTCACTCACATAAGCAGACGTGTTAGTGAAAACAACTGGCACCAAAGAAAATTGTGCACGTCAGAACAACAATCGATACAGAATCTCCACCTGCTACAAATTATACAGAAAATGGGAAGAACATCAAGAATGAATCGTACATAAATCGCTTAGGAGAAAAAGTTCATTTATTTGGTCAAGCCCAATTGAAAAGGTTGAGTGAGAAATTTCGCCTATCGAGAATGTACAAGGTTCTATAAGTTGCAACTTACAGGAGAATAAATTTGGTCTTGGCCAGTCACGGAATCATCATATGGATAATTAGCTACAAGAGAGCCTGAATGGAAATAGTTATAGAAAATTAACAATAATGCGATGTAAATGCAAGGTTGAATGTGGAAAATGAATAAGATGAGGTGTTGCTAAACATGCTACCTCCATGTAAATTGGCGCTGACGAGAAATGGATATTGTTGTAGCCACTGCATGACGGCAGCAGTCTCTGGTTCAGGATCTCCACCGCCGGACTGCTCGCGATGTGCTGGATATCTTGCCGGAAAATTGCGATTCAAATCAACGTTGTGCTCGTTATTTCGACCCTAAATTCCAAGAATCGATGCCAAACAAGCACGCTAAATTTCCCTTCCGTATCCCATATAGTCTTATACCTAACCATCTCTCTGTCTCCCTCTCTGTATTTCTTCACCATGCCTCTTCTGTTTTCTCCTCCGTTCCTTGCACTCTGTTCCTCTATCTCCCTACCTTTCCTTCTTTCTAACCTCCTTACTCATACACAAACAGAATATAAAGCAAACACCGTACCGCGTATCCAACACGATCCCCGGCTATGCCATGCTCATAACCATCCGGATTCATAGACGGCATAATATGAATTCGTTCACTATTCACTAAATTGGTTAAATATTCGTTCTTTCCATAATTTACGCATAGGATTTCGATCAGATACAACAGCGACTCGCGCCCAACAACCTGGAAAAGTTCAAACCAAGTTTTAGACAGCTTTTGATTGAGAACTACAAAGCCATACCTCATTCCCATGCATATTGCCGATATACTTCACCTCTGGTTCAAGTAATTCATGTCTCGTTGGATTGTCTGAGATTATCAGAACCCAAAGATCACGACCAGATACGCTTTTACCAATCGAATAAAGGTACGTAATGTTCGGATAGTTTTGTTCCGTTTCCTAAAAATGCGTCATATACTTCAGCATCAATAAACAAAATAGGTCGAATGCCCTTCGGAAAAAAACTTCATCATAAACGGCCATTTACCAAGGTAACTATTTAAGAGCTATTTCTATTTTAAAACTTGGACGAAGGAACTCATGACAATCACGAATAAATTTCAGTCGAGGAAAAGAGTCAACCAAAAAATAACGAAGGGTATAAAGCAATCTACACTATGATTATAACAGACAATCTATTCAAATCTACTTTCGTCTAGGGTGCCTGTAGTGCGCAGTGATAGTGATGTCGTTGTACATATGTATATTACACATGTATATACATATACTTGATAGTTGAACGGCCCGACCTCACTGGTTGTGCGGGCCCCAGCATAATCACCATTTTTCGGAGATTTACTGGTTAAACCATTGTGGTTCCCTGGAATCCCGAGGTCAGCCTGGCCAAAGTCTGCCCCACGTCTTCACCACCACGGGCAGTCTCAGTCCTTGTGGATTAGGAGATTTGCCACCATGCTTTGATACCAGGACGGTGGCGGATCCTGGTATTGGTTTACTCTTAGCTAGGCTTCCTGATGGAAACACAGGACTGCTCCTCAGCTTGGGAAACCGTGCCGGGTGGACGAATCACCTCGCTGTACATCGCAGCCCGGCATCCAGGAACACCTTGCTACGATGAGGCGGTAAACCGTTGGGAGATATAAATATATATGTGTATATATATATATAATGTATATATGTATGTACCCTATACATATATATATATATATATATATATATATAATGTATGTACCCTCCCAATGGTTTACCGCCTCATCGTAGCAAGGAGGTGTTCCTGGGTGTCGGACTGCGATGTACAGTGGGGGGATTCGTCCCCCCAAGCTGAGAAGGAGTTCGGCGTTTCCACTAGGAAGCCTAGCTAGCAGTGAACCAATACCAGGATCCATCATCGTCCTGGTATCAAACTTGTCGCATGCTGACAAATCTCCTTCTGATCCGCAAGGACGGAGAACGCCTGTACGCTGACGACCCCGGGCAGACTTTAGTCTGCCAAACCTCGGAACTCCAGAGAACAGTGGCTAAATCAGCAAAACTCCGAGGAAAGTGGAAATTATGCTGGGTCCCGCACAACCGGTGAGAGCAGGCCATCCAAATATCCATGTATATACATATGTGTATATATATATATATATGTACATACATGTGTATACATGTGCATATATATGTACGTGTGCATATACATACATATTACACAAATATTTTCAACAAATGGCGATTCCTTCCTTTCCACAGCAGTAGTGACTTCTAATCAGTGGCGTTTTCGACATAATAAACTCAAACAGCTTTATTTTTGCTTTGTTGCACAAAACTTTGAAGTTCCTGGGGTGCAAATGTTCAGATTTTTTTTACGCATTTTTCTGAACTCATGCTAACATTATACTCTCTTAAAGTAGCTCCATAGAAGTCACAATCGATCTGCTTCAGGTCCGGATGGGACGCTTAAAATCCACTCTCGTGTTTTATGAAGACATAACCAACAAAAGTGATAAAGGCACGATAATCAACCTTCTTTCCGTATAGGTCATTTCAAAGAAAGCGCACTTAGGTTTCTTCGAATGCACTTCATTTAATAGTTGGCGTTACCAGAGACTAAAATCAAACTTTTAAGTTAGCCGCTTTTCTCGGAGTGAAGATGAATTGGTTAGAGGATACCCACGGTCGAATTCCAAAACAACCTGCTTATACCTATTAAGTGACCAAAGAATCCATGTCCGAAAGCTATTATTTGCATCACATAAGAAACACGCTTTGAAAGAGTGACAGGATATCCCTACAAAAATTTTATTGTGGCTAATGTTTCGACCTTTTTTCTTCTTCAAAACTATAACGATTCGACGCAATGAGAATATGAAGATTAACAGCCCAAGAAACAACCGCTTTGGAGACTGAGTGCAAATCCTTGTGGTCCTAAAGGCAATGACGACATCGAAGCTTCAGCAATAATAAAACTTACAAAAATTAGCTCGTCAGCACAAAATATTGACTGTTTATACCGAGGTGAAATTAAGGTTCGTTTACAAAGGATTATTTCGATATAACCGATTTCAATACCATTAATCAAGGAACCAATTACATGAAGAAAATATATTATGAAGTAAAATAAGATATAAACTTAGAAAACCTTGAGCAAATCACTTTCACATGTAAAACTTACCTTCAACCATGCTGTCATACTTGTATAATCGTGGTTCACCAGTTTGGAAGGGTCGACATCTATGAATGGTCCAACTCTGAAAAAACCAAACCAGGAATCCAATAACTAGTGACAATAAGGTCTAAAAGGAAAAGTGAACAACAGTAATTCAACAAATCTGTGACTGTAGTTACATTTTCCTTACTTTTTCTTCATCTCTTCATATGACGGAAAGATGCTAACATTAAACCTGCTGGCCCCGAAATGCACGCTTAGAGCGTCATTCTAAAAGGGTTCGCATTAAGTTCGTACCAAAACACAAAAAAAACCAAGAGCAAACAAAAGTCTTCTACCTCCGCATCTTTGGTCTCCTGGTTAGTCGCGATAATGTCACTGTCCCAGTTGATGAATAGGCTCGCGCTCAACTGGAATGTCAGCAGGAAGGACCATGTAAGGTACCCCGCTCGCATTCAGGGTATTCCTAAATATACATGTATTACAACCCGACAAACAATTACAAAAATTGATGGCTCATAACAATACAGAACTTGGAAGGGTGAATGGGAAAGGTATAGAAACAGTAGTTTCATAAGAACCATAAACGTAGTCGGTTGAGCTGTCCACTCACCACAGTTGTTCAGAAATGCTTATATTACTTGGAAAGACCATTTTTGTTAAAGAGAAATTATCTCGAAGTAACTTTTGTGGAGTACTTTAAAAAACAGACGTGCAGGTCTTCAGGAAATGAGTGTCACAATGTCACTGAAAAACTTGAAAGAACAAACGTCCAGGAGCGAAGGGATATTGGATGGTAAACGCACCACTATACATTCCCTTTCTCACTTTCAGTAAATCTCCAACGGTTTACCGCCTCATCGTGGCTATGAAGTGTTTCTGGGTGTCGGGCTGCGATGTAAAGCGAGTGGATGAGGAGTCCGGTAAACTAATACCAGAGTCCACCACCGCCTTTATATCAAACTACTCGCGTGGTGGCATATCTCCCTCTCACCCACTAAGGCGCTTGCTGCATGGATTGGTAGCAACCTGAAGCAGACCTTGGTCTAGCTGAATGGGGGACTCCAGGGAAGCACTATGGCTAAAACAGCAAACTTCCGAAACAGTGGAAATTATGTATGGACACTCACAAACAGTGAAGACGGGCCATCCAAATATTAAAGTAATTAAGCTCTCTGTTATATCAGTACAAACATCACTCCTTTTCTTAACCTTTTTATTTACTGCCTATTCTTTTTAACGGTTGGGTATTTTGCGAAATATAACTACTACAATGCTGAGATATTTGCAAAACTCCGGACTGCAGGTGTCTGTGGTGGAGAACGAACGCGTTATTGTCCTTTCCGGGGAGCAACGCGTTCACCACCACACCATGCGGGTCCTTCGTTTCGCTTGTCTCTCAGCTAGTTCTATCGATCTTTTGCCATCAGCAAATAGGCAGTAAATAAAAAGGTTAAGATTGTGATTATAAATATAGCCTCAGCTTAACTAGGTTCAATGTCGATTTGGGCTCCCCAGATCAATTAAGTTCACGAGTGATTGCTGATGGCAAAAGATCGACAGAACAAGCTGAGAGACAGGCGAAACGAAGGACTCGCATGGTGTGGTGGTGAACGCTTTACTCCCCGGAAAGGACAATAGCGTGTTCGCTCCCCAGCGCAGACACCTGCAGTCCGGAGTTTTGCAAATATCTCAGCATTATAGTAGTTATCATTCCTTTTGTTCTTCCCAACTTAATCTCGTTTTCAAGGAATTTCGTAGTTCCACATTTTATGAGAGTGCTACATGGATTTCAATAGGTGTGTAAATAACTACTCAAGGTGCATAGGTAGGTACTATTCCTATGATTCACTTCCTCTCCACGGAGAATTGCTTCCTGTAACCGAGCTGCAATATGGTAGTGGTGAAGTTTCCGACGTATTTTTTCTGATAGTTTTTTTCCAGGTGATTTTCGGCTATTTTATTGAGGCCAAAGGCCACCTAATAATAAAGGCTAAGGCCTATAAAGTGGTTTGCCGCCGTCATGAAAAGAACTTAGCCGCACTGCATAAAATATTTTTTCTTTTCATATAGAACAGCGACTGCATCTGAAGACAATGGGGAACGTTAGGATAAAAAACCAATTCAGTACATAACAGGCCAGCCCGCCTAAGCCATATAGTGAAACAACCAATGAAAGGAGCCTAATTTCGGGCTAAAACAGACATTGTTACAACCGGACTGGAAGAAAAAACGTCCGCGACACACCTGCAAACCACAGCACTTCTTCCTCTGTACTTTACCTGTATCACCTGCCGTTCCGTTGATCGTCGAGAGACTCGAACGAGCGCCAGTAAATCTTCCACTTTTCCCAGCCACGTGCAAGAGTAGCCCAGTGGTTTCAGATCGCTCTAGGGACTCGTTGAGCATCACACCTTTCTTCTGGGCTTTTCGTGAAGAACTCGGACCATCAGGTGGGTGGTCTCCATGCAGTACATTTAACATCCCGAGGAATTTAGTAACTAATGGTTCTTGTCCATCGATTGTCGTTCATACCATTATGTGTACGGCCCATCTTATCTTCGACAGTTCGGCGTATAAAGTGGCACCTTTGATTTCTGATCGTTGATGCAGGTCGAGTTTCGATACCTTCCCTTACTTCTGCGATACGGTGACTCCTAGCATCGTCCTCTGACTGCACGTTCAATAACGATGAGTGATCTTCCTTAGTGCATTAGGAGCGACCAGGTTAGGACATATACGTTAAGGTAGGAAGAGTTGTGGAATAGAAAAGGTTGGTTCGGAGTCGGATGCTCTTTGTTCTTTTCACTCTATCGGTGCTCTCGAAAGCGCCCCAAGACGCTCGCTTCATCCTGCTCAACTCTGAACCTAAGTGGTTAGCAATGACGATTTCCCAAACTAAACAGACGTAGCTCGAGCATTCGGACATAACTGTTCCGTTGAGCATGAATGTGACAATGAATAAGAGAACAATCTATTCCTCATGCACATAGTTCTTGTGAAATTTACCACGCAACTGCAACGTTAGAACAGATTCCTCAGGCAAGTGATCTCCATGAACTTGATGAGATCTCTTTGAGGCCAAACTCCTATTAAACCATCATGAAATATTGATAGAATAAGATATACGGTTCATTCCATTGGCTATCACGTATCAAACATCCGACCACCTTGCTTTATTGTCCTACATCTCCATTCTCCGCGTTACAAGAACATTAGCATCGCTAAATACAACTTACTAACTTACGCAGCTTTTGAACCTTTTCCACAGTAAACCCACTTTATCAAAAATTTTATTCTCGGGATGAACGTAGCCGCCACAGAGTAGACGAAGCGCACGATTTAACAACACACTTGGGTGTATCACTTCAAAGAAAAAAGTGACGCTTGTGTGACATCTCCGCAGTTGCCGACTTTCCGTTCTGAGTTACGCCACCTCTACATGTTTGACTTAGGTACACACTGAATTTGTCTCCCACGAAGAAACCTTACATTACATGCACATCCAAGAACACAACAAAACTACTGCTTGCTGGTTTCTCACAACATTCATTTTTAACACTCCTAACGATGCTCCAGGGTTAGTCCAAGCCCTTCAACGTGGGCAAAATTCTGCCTCGACCTCAGTGGGCGACACTAAGACACGGCGAAACGCCGAGTCGTGCCGAACTTCATCATCAACAAAGGAAAGCGACTACACGAGCGGTCTCCCGCGGGACAACCAGCAAGTACTAGACATCAAAACGCGAATAAAAAGTATTTATTAGAAGATACCACGGATCTCCCTTATATGAGGGATCCTGATAGCCGGTTGGTCGCGATGCGACATGGTGCGATCCAAGGTGGCGGATAGGAGACTAATCGCGGACCAAAAGTGACCTTTGCTTCCCTGAGACGCAGGTGGATCCAGATGGACACCCTGTTTCTGGTGCACCCATTCGGCACATTCACTCTGTATTCAGGAGGCGTATTCATGCACGCGTGTGTGGGTGCGGTCTGGTTTATGTAGATTGTATTCTACGAGTGGCCAAAAGCCTGCAATCAAGTGACAGCTAAGTATATGGGAGGCGGTTAGGAGTCACCTCCAACAAATAATCTCCACGTCCACTCTGGGAGAGACTGGCAAGCTACCAGCGAGTATACTCAGCCTCTACGTTCAGAGAACAGCAAGCTACATGTGGGTATCAAAATGCTAAACACAGTAAAAGAAACGGACCTCATTCCTCTGACCCCGAAAGGGCCACCAATTCGGCAGCGTTGGGTAGGACGAGTACATAGAAGCTGCCAAAATCTCAGCGTCAATGGAAGCTTCATGGATTGCAAAAAAAACTAAGGTGACGATCTGTACCCACAATGCACGAAGATTTGCTCATGCAAGTACGAAGCATAAGGCACGAAGTCATCGGCCTGGCCGAAACGAAACGACGCCATCCATTCAACGCCGTCTATGACACCGGAGAAGAACTGTTCCTCGGAAAATGCAACAGTAGAGGAGTCGGCGGCCTCTACGTTCTCGTCAACACGAGTTCGTCCATGAACATAGATTCGTCCGCACAACATACAGCTCGAATCGGAACGTTTACGATTAAAAAGATGTGGATCAATTCCGGCTTTGACAATCTTCGTCGTTTACGCGCCGACATGAAACTATGACGAAGAAGAAGTCGAAGCGTTCTCTTCGAAGTTTACATCTTTAAAAATAGAACGTCTAGGTAGAATAGACTTCTAAATTAAAATCATAACCGATCATGTAATGAGAAGGGTTAACGATGATATGACGAGATGGTCGAGAAAGACGGTAAAATCGTTACCAGGGTGATGCAAAAGCATACTGCATAAACACAGGAAATTAATGGAAATGTGTGTAATTCACATGAAGCAGCTGTGCCCATATCCGGATACGGTCTATGGATCATAGAACCTTAATCGTATAGGCCGTATTGGACAAAACCATTTATCTTGGTGGATGACAGAAGTGCGGATTCGAAACGAGTGGAAATTTCACCAAGTTCATAAGATTTAGGATAACGGTCTACGGAAGTGCCCACATCTAGAAATTGAAGAATGAAGTTAACTCTTATGAAGTTTAAAAACTTTTGTTACCAACGTTTCCTGTTAGCGTACAGAATGTCTTAACCTGAAGAATGACCAACCTACGAAAATTAACGGAAATAATCAAACGAAAAATATTTGCCAATATTAATACGAAGACAAGACAGCGATGATTTATTACTACAGGTCTAAAAAGCACCAAAAGGGATAAATACGGAGGCTATAGTAAGGCTATTCCAGAAATCTTCACAAAGAATAAAGGATAAAACTTTTAGCGTTTATCAAGCCTGGAGTAATGCCGCCATGCATTTGACTCCTTTCGTTGCATAGCAAAGCCATCCATGTTTGGCCTATACAAACAGTGTCTAGAGAGACCCATCAACGGAAAAAATCAGTGTTTTCATCGTCCCAAACAAACTTCATACCACTACGACGCTAAGATACTTGTAAAACTCAGACCACTGGCCAGATTCGAACCCGTGATTACCCAACCTGGTACCAATTCGCCAATCCGAAAAGAGCAAGGGCTCAATTTGCCCGACGTACATGGTCGAACAATCAAGCACGCTTTTATACGTTCAGAGCAATTCTAAATACTTCGTTACATGTGTCCCTACAAAAAAATACGTCCAATCAGTCTAATCAAGGAACATATGTCCAATTGTCGATGATCTTAGCAGGCTCAATGGACGCGAATTAGTTTGATTTCAATGTGATCAATTTTTTCGATGATCAATAGTTCAATTTATTGATTTTCTGCATTCCTCTTTGAAAATGTGGTTCGAATCCGAGGTTCATGTGCAAGAGAACAACACGTCAGAGATGCGAAGCGGAAATAGTCAACGTGAAAAACTACACATGGGAGGAGATACTGTAGAGGCGCTTCGAAAGCCTCATACAACATCAATTTTTCTAGAGTAATTCCAGCATTGTCGGAAAGCACATTATGGATGGCATATGGATAAAGGATAAAAGATAAAGCTCTCGGCGTTGACCAACCCTTGAAGGATGCGCCATGCACTCGACTTCGAGAAATATCGTTGGAGGTGACTGAATGCATATCAGGCCTTTACAATGACCCGCGGCGGCCTACCGATGCATCGAGCCAGTGCTGCTATCCTCCCAGACAACTTTGGTACCAATTTGCCGACCCCGAAGGAATAGATGGTTTTGCGGGCCATGGGCACGGAGATCGATTCCAAGTGTCGCAGTGGCGCCTCTAACCAGTGCGCCACATGCGCCCTTTGCATATAGATAGTTGAAAGAATAATATCGTTAACATGAATCCACTGAAGAAATTATAGAGCAATAAACTTAAAGCGGATATTTCGTACTAACACTCGTATACGCCACTGTGCACCAAACATCGTCAACACGAACGACGACAAGAGAACGAAGTGAATGGGGAATATGCCGCGGTGGCCCCACTTTTTGTGATAATGGATCATCTAAGTGTTTAAGTAGGTGTAATCCTAGGACCTCCATTTTCGTACAAGAAAGGAACGAGGGCGGCTTAGATAATTGCAGAATTCTTAGTCACATTGATCGTCAGGTCTCATTTCATTGATCATTTATACAGAGGTTAAGTGAAAGTCGGTTTACAGTGATATAGAATTTTTAGTATCCCCGGAAATAATCCACTAGTGAGTAACACGTTGAGCCATCGTTTTGGACGATTATGTCAATGGACGATGTTGTTGACAATCATTTGAAATCGATTGCACTCATATAATAGAATGAGCCACGAAAATCCGTTTCAGTGCATTTCTATAACCGAAAAAGAAGACCAATACAAAATACGTGTCCTATCCAAGTCCTTCAAATCGACGACTGTATGATACATCAGATGAACAAAACGAAGTTTAGCGTGTAGTGAAGACAAGATTACCATTCGTAACATTTATTTCTCATCACATCTCTCTTCGCGAAAACATGGAGCACTCCGCATTCATGCATGAAAGGATAGCTGAAAGTTCTAAAGCCACCAAGAGACGTCTGTCTCCAGAAACACTCGAGCTGATACGCCAGCGTGGAATCGCACGAGCTGCAGGCAACAGCGAACTAACGTCCAAA